CTCATTTTTCTCTTGTGGGGTGGCTGGTAATTTTGAACCTCTGACCTTGATAAGATAAACTTATTTAACCCATTGCTATTGATTCCATTCTGACCATAGTGACCCTGTAGGACAGAGTAGCCCTAACCCATAGGGTTTCCTAGAGTAGTCTTAGAAGTTGAGGGCCGAGCAGATTTGTTGGTAGGCGGAGGCCTCGATGCAGCATCTCTGGCTCTACCTGGGAGAACGTCTTACGTAGTGGGGGCCGATGCAATAGAACACTCCTGTACTACTTACACTCCATGGGCTTGAAATCTGCCCCTGCAGGATAGCAATTTGAACCCAGCAACTGCTGCCAGGGAGAAAGATGAGGCTGCTCCCCTCATAAAGGCATGCAGCCTCAGAAGCCCTGGGATCAATTCTACTCTGCCCTCTAGGGTCACCATGCGTTAGAATTCACTGGACGACAATTGGTTTGGTTTGGGTTGGTGTGGGTAATAGAGGTCTTAAATTATTGGCCAAGGGACAGAATCTCTTACTGGGGATCCATTTTTTTCCTCTTGTCATGTTCTGAAGATAGCGTAAATCCGATTTCAAGCATTAATTGAAAACCTTTTCCATTAAGGCACAGATAAGTTGATGATGGAACAGAAAGATGAATAAGCTATTTCTGAGTTCAAAGTAACATGAGAAGTGTAATTCGCTCACTATGGAGTATCTGGCTCACATAGCAGCCCTGTCCCAAGCTCTGCAGTGCAGTCACAGTAGAGGAAGGGTCATCTGAGGAGTGACCTGAAGGAGGTATTCATTTCCCCCCAGAAAATGTTGGCATGGAAACAAAACAGACAGAATCCTTGCCCTCCTAGACTTTTTATTTTACTGAGGAATGGAGAGGACACATGCAATTAACAAAGCAAATGAGAGAAATATATATAGCCAGGTGGTCACATGTGCTATGGCGAAGATAAAGTTAGCAAAGGGAGGCAGAGAGACTTGACTCTGAGCTGGGGGAGCCCCGATGGGGTGCCGGGGAGCTGACCTTGTAGAAACCAGAGCAAGACTTTGCCTTCAGACAGGAGTCCTCACTCAGCTGAGAAAACTGTTAGGCGTCGCAGTGGGGCCCTGTGACTGTGGCGGCCTGAGGAGGATGGGCAGTAGTGGGAGGCCAGGTTACTGTAGACTGTGGGAGGACCTTGGTGGCCTTTCGTGGGGCACCATTGGAAGGTGTAAACAGAAGAAGGACGCCGGGGGAAGTGCCTGCTTCAGAGACTGGTGGAGTAAACTAGGCGAAATGATGGCGGCCTAGACCAGGGTGCGCCTCCCATGCCATATTTTGGTCAGAAGTCGGTGTGGGAACTCGGGAATCTGTATGGCCCGTTCAAGCTTGAAGTGTGTAGTACTCTGAGATGAAGCCATTGGAGAAGGTGAAGGTGAAGGTGAGGGCTCGGCTTGTTAGGTGTGGGCGGCTTATTCGTTTCACAGGCAGAGGTGGGAAATGACAAGAGGTCAGAACTGGGTTTAACAATTGAGGGTTCCTCAGTAGAAAAGCAGCCATCAAACTCTTGGTAGGTGGGGCGGGGCGGGGTGACATGAGGCAAGTTGGCATAGTACTAGGAAAGCACTGCAGGAGGCAGGCGTAGAAGAAGTTAGCTAAGCACATCATGGCTCTGCATTTTCATCACTCTGGGGTTCTGATGCACAGGGCAGGGTCTGCCAGCGGACTGGGCTGGGCCTGTGCACCTGCATCTGGAGCACAGGTGGGAAAGCGAGGATTCGTATCCACAATACATAAAGAGTGGGTATTGTGGATGTAGAAAAGGAGAACTGGTTCTAACCAGGTCATTGAAGCTCATGTGGACCATGCCTCACCACTGTCACCACTTGGAGGTGCATGTCCCTACCAATTCTCCGGTTGCCTTTCGGAAGCATTAGTGTATGGATATGTGTGTATGTAGAAAGTGTTAAGATGCGCTGTTCAGTAAAACAAGTGTTAGGAATTTGTGTGTGCGTGTGCATGTGTGTACAAGTGTATATTGTCTATGGCTATTTATGCTGTCTCTGGAATTGTGTGTGTATATATGTATACATGTGTATATTGTCTGGCTCTGTGCTGTCTCAAATTGTGTGTGTGTGTGTGTGTGTGTGTGTGTATATGTGTGTATTGTCTAAAGCTCTGCGGTCTCTGGAATTGTGTGTGTGCAATGTGTATCTTGTCTATGGCTCTATGCTGTCTCCACAAGTGACAAAGATAGGGGCAGGTGAAGAAGTGGTCACAGATGTGCAGGTCTTTCAGCCTTGGGGCCACGCTGTATTCTGCTAGTGTTGGGGTTGGGGGAGCATGCTGGACTCACCTGCTCCAGGGGCTCTGGGAGCATCCGTGTGAGTGTTATGCCGATTCTCTGAACCTCTCTGCAGGTGTGGAACATCAAGCAGATGATCAAGCTGACCCAGGAGCACATCGAGGCCCTCTTGGACAAGTTTGGGGGGGAGCACAACCCGCCCTCAATATACCTGGAGGTGAGCTTGGCTGCCCACGGACTTAGTGTAATGATGACAAAGATAATTCTCTCTCCCCAACCCTGCAAACACCCAGGGTGGCCAACGAGCGAACATTCCCTGTCACAGTAAACAGGTTACCTTTTGTGCTTTGAAAAATGTCAAGTAAAGGGGTGGGGGCGCTTATGTTAAATTTCCTAGAAGAAAACAAGACAAAAATGAGGTATCAGAAGAGTGGAGAAAACATATGTTAGAGAATCAGCAAACTGGTTCTCTTTGAAAAAGGCAGGGCTGTATAAAACCTCTTTTTCCAGGGCTGGTTCCCCCCCCCCCCCACACACACACACACATTGGCGCCTCCATCCTCATAGGGGAAATTTGCAGTCTCTAACTGCTCTTGGATTGGTTCTGAATTGTAGCAACCCTGCAGGACAGAGTAGAACTCCCTCACATCACAGGGTTGTCTTTGTTACAGACGCAGACTGCCACTGCATGTCCCTCAGAGCAGCTGGGGGCTTCAAACTGCTGGTCTTTGAGTAGGTGGCAGCCGTTAGATGGGCCAGCATTACCCAGATGGATGCTTTCATTGGGTCTTAAGGGCTGTGCCTGGCCTGCGCAGGGCTGTTGTGGTTCGGGTCTTGAGACATGGTCAGTGCTGTCACCAGAGAGGCTCTCTTGGCCTGGATTCCAAGTGGAAGGTGCCAGGGCCCCACCCCAAGAGTTGCTGTGAAATTCAGGCCATTGTCAGCACATTCCCACCCCAGGGAGAAAATGCCCAGCTGACCACTGGCCAGAGGTTCTTCAGCACAGTGGATAGGCTTCTTCATTCATTCCCACTTTGGTTTTCCCCTGACTCCTGGAAGGGCAAGCTGCAGCTTCTGCTCAGGCTACAAGGAGACCCGCGCCTAAGTGCCTCTATGAGCTGAATCTGTAGGTCAGTTGCTACAGGTGCAGGCATTACTTACTTTATTGCAAGAAAGAGCCCTAGCCGTAGCCCATTGGGTTGCTCATGGTTCAAATCTACTGGCTGCTCTGCGGGAGAAAGACTGCCTAGGCCTGGAAAAGTTTGCCAAGTCAGGAACCTGGGAGCAGTTCTGCTCTGTTCTGCTGGGATCAGGCTTCATGTAAGACAAGACTCGAAGCTGTTGGATTGAAAAGCCACCTGTACAGCAGGCGAAGGTGATTGTGATGAGGCCTTTGTTGCAAGGTAGGGATTGGTTCAAGCTTTCAGACTGAGGGCAAATTTACTTAACCTTAAAGGGCAAGTGGAAAATGGAGTTAAAAGGTAATGGAAGTTTTCCATTAACTTTTATGAAGTTCTCTCAACCTTACTTAGTAACTCATAGTGACCCTATAGGACAAGTTAGAACTGCCCCTGGGGGTTTCTGAGGCTGTTAATCTTTATGGGAGCAGGAAGCCCCATCTTTCTCCCTAGGAGTGACTTGTGTTTTCCAATTGCTGACCTTTCAGTTAGCGGCCCAATTGGTAACCTATTAAGCCACCAGGCTCCTTAGCCCTAATAACAACTGAGAGACAACTCCTCCTCTTCTTCCTCGCCTGCATGTGGCTTTCCCCAAAGCACACAGTCAGGACTGGAACTCCTGTCCGAGGGCTGGTAGTGAGAGGATTTGGTGTGTTTCCTCTGAGGAAGTGTGTGTTTTAGGACAGCAAGCAGAGCCGTTGTGGGGAGATAAATACTTCCATTGAAAACAGGCTTTCTTTGTTCATCAGAATGAGACAAAATAACCAGCCACTTTTCCTTCTCACTTTGTGAGTCTTGAGAAACGTCCCCTTCCTCAGATGGACGACATTTGTGTCAGCGTCCCTGTCTCATTGCCCTCCACCCCCCTTGGGCTTCGAGACCATTGTGGCCATGAAGGCAACAGCACCCTCAGACAGCAGTAGCAGCAGCAGCAGTAGCAGTAGCAGCAGTGCTTGGAGCTGCTTCTGTGTCTGAGCCAACTGGGAAGGCCTTCCTTTCAGTCACCTGTGCCCGATATCAGGGATGAGGTGAAGAGATAGAGGCCAACTTGCCCACGGCTGCCCAGCCAGTGGAGGGGGGCAGAGATCCAGCTCTGATGTTCACCCTAGTGAGTCTGCCCACCTTGCTCTTCGCCCAGCTCCCTCCCAACCGGTCTTCTTAGGTGAAACCTTGCTCTTTCCTTTAGCCATTCGTATCATCATGACCTGTAGACCCTTTATTAGATGTGCTTGGTGCATTCCTTTTCAACATTTGACATCTAAGGTTGAATAAACAGCCTGGTCCGCATAGGCTGCGTCATGAGCGTGTGTCACCCAGAGGTTACAGTGAACTCAGTCCCAGTGCCTTGGTGTCCATAGGCAGGCCATCTGGCCTTCCTGGGCAACAGCCCATTGGTAGATTGCTATCACACACATGTCACTGAAGGGACTGGTGGCATTGTTGCATGCAGTCTCACAGTGACCCTGTGTACACGGGTAGAAACACTGCCCGGTCCTGCCCCACCCTCCCTTAGAGTCGTTGCTGTGTTTGAGCTCACTGTGGCAGTTGCTGCATCTCCTGGAGGTCTTCCCTTTGTTCATTCCCCTCCATTGTACCAAGCATGAAGTTCACCTTGGTAACGCGGGAGGCAGTCTGGCCATCCTGCTGCTTGCTGCCCCTCCTTTTTGCCTCCCATCCTTGCTTCTAAGAAGCATGCTGGCTGTACTTCTCCAAGACAGGTATGTTCGTTCTTCTAGCCGTTCGTGTTCTGTTCCTTATTCTTTGACATTACCATCGCTCAGAGGCATCAGTTCTTCCCCACTTGTCGTACTTCATTGTTCAGCTTTCACAGGAGCATGAGGCAATTGGAAATACCGTGGCTTGGTTCAAGTGCACCTCCATCTTCAAAGTAACATCTTTTAACATCTTAATGAGGTCTTTTGCAGCAGATTTTGTCCAGAGCCATACATCCTCAGCAGAGTTTCTCGAGTAAGACGGTGAAGAGGGAATCAGCTGTCCATTTCTGAATGATCAGCTACTGAACACCTTATGACAACGCAGCACAGCACTGTCAGATGAATAAGATCCTGCCTCAGGTTGGAAGGCACTAAAAATGCGGGTTTTCAACGTAGAGTCAACCATAATGATTGGATGCAGTAAAGCTTTGGACCCTCATTTGCTGCTGCAGCACAACTCAGAATAAGAAACAGCTTCAAACATTGATTAATAATCAAATGATGGGATGTATGAAGTACAAATCTAGAAAAATTGGAAGGCATAAGAAAATGAAATTCAATGCCTAAAGATTGATATCCTAAGCATTAATGAGTTGAAATGGACCAGTATTGGCCATTTTGAATTAGACAATCAGGTGGTTTACAGTGCCAGGAACGACAGATTCCAGAGGAATGGCACTGCATTCGTCAGAAGGGACACTGTCTATGATAGGGTACTATCTGTACACCTATGAAGAAATCGAGTTACTACACTCTTTTGTTTGTTTCAGTTTTAAAAATCTTTTGTGAATTTTTTTAAATTAAAAGATCATTTTATTGAGGGCTCTTACAACTCTTAGGACAATGCATACATCAATTGTATCAAGCATATTTGTACATATGTTGCCATTATTCTTTTCTAGACATTTACTTTCTATTGAGTCTTGGTATCAGCTCCTCTTTTTTGCCCTCCCTCCCATAGTACAACTCTTAATTCAAGTTTACATACCAAACACTAAAGCCAGTGATGAACCTGACCTTGGTGACAGCAATGAAGCTGGAGATTTCACAATAGAATTTTGCAAGACCAAGGACTTCTTCAATGGAAACATTCTTTCCAACCATGTAAACAGTGACTATACATGTGGACTTCTCTCCTTGGGATACACAGAAATCACATTGACTACACCTGTGGGAAGAACGATGGAGAAACTCCATATCAACAGCTAAAACCTGGCCAGGGCAGACTAGACAAACCATTGATCCCTTATATGTAAGTGCAGGTTGAAGTTGAAAGAAAATTAAAACAAGTCCACAAGAGCCAAAATAGGACCTTGAAGACATCATGTTTGTGTAGAGGGACAGCAAAAAAAGAGGGAGACCCTCGACGAGGTGGGTTGACACAGTGGCTACTACAGTGGCTCAAACATAACGATTGTGAAACTTGCTCGGGACTGGGCAGTGTTTCGTTCTGTGGTGCTCAGGGTCACGATGAGTCGAGGTGGTCGTTGGACTGCTCGGCTGCTGCTTCCGTGCGTGTTGATGGGATAAAATGAAATCCTTGACACCATCAGTCTTTTCCTCATTTATCATGATGTTGCTTATGCTCCATTTGTGAGGACTGTTGTTTTCATCTAAGGATTAACTGATATTCGTGAAACAGCATAATTTCTATAGTGTAGAATTGTCCCATAAACCATCATCCATTCATCTAGCTGTTACTTTTTAAGTACCTACTGACAGCGGCACTCTCTCAGGCCCAGGGGACGTAGTAAACAAAACAGAAAAAACTCTGCCTTTAAGCCACTTGTGTTCTGAGAGGGTGCAGCAAGCTGGGCACGACAGACATTACACATAAAGGAGGTGAAACACTGTACTCCCCATCTTTGATGTTCTCTGAGGAAGAGCTTGGCTGGAGCAGACTGGATTCTTCTAGGGAAATGGAGCAGCCCCACAGGGAGACCCACAGGCACTAATATACCTTCGTTCCTTCTTCCCATGCAAAGCCAGCTCCCTGCTAATCCCCACTGCAGTCCCAGACCTGGGTCCAGTCGGCTTTCAAGAGTCCTCAACACGTGTATACAAGTGGGGCCCTAAGAGTAGCCAACTGTTTGAGGAAAGCTTTCCACAAGAAAGACAAAAGCAGAAATAGTCTACAGAAACTCAGAAACAGCACAGAGAACAGGACAAAGCTTGAAAAAAACTATATAATTAACACTGAAGTTAAAAGAAAACGTAGCACTACTTCTTGTCTCACAACTGCCGAAAAAGCAAAAGCAACAGAAAACGAGAAGAACTTGGAAATTAAAAATATACCAGAAATTGAAAAAATTGATAGGTGTATG